GCAAAGAATACTTGTACCAGGATAGCTACCTTACAAAGGAATCAACAATTCCAGAACAGGAGAAGGCAGATGGTCAACATGGGTGCGATCTCCTACCCAAGCAGCAGTGGGCCCTCTTGGAGTTTGAGAAGCCAGTCACGTGCCCCAGGTTATGCCTTGTCATTGGCTCAAAGCTGGACACGGATATTCATTCCAACACCTGCAGATTAGCTTTCCACGGGATCCTTCTGGACGGGGCGGAAGACAAAAATTATACAGAGACCTTTCTTCCCAAGCTGAAAGTCTTCAAAATGAAACACAAGGAAGGGCAAGTTGAGAGGGTAAGGGCCGTTTTCGTCTTCGTCAGTATGTGAGGTTTTCTTTTACAGGTTAGCTATGCAGCAAGACTGGAGTAATATCAATGTGTATGCATAGCCAAAACTTTTTGGGGGTTAAAACCCCTGGCACTTTTTTTTTTTTTTGCTGTCTGTATCCATTCTGGAGTTTTTCTCTAAGTTCTTCCTCTATTTTTTTAACCACTTATTTGTAATCCAATGGCGCCACCATTGATTTTGAATTTGACCAACCAAGTCTTCAGTTTCACCTCATGTTGCCACAGAAAAGAATTATCGTGGCTGGGAATCTTCTTTTCTTTCCAGGTCACAAATTATGCTCATTTCTTTTACGATTATAGTTCTCACACTATTCATCATTGATTAGAAATTTGTATGTCTATAACCACTTCAAGTCCGGACACTTTCACCCCCTTCCTGTCCAGGCCAATTTTCAGCTTTCAGTGTTGTCGCACTTTGACAATTGCGCGGTCATGCAACGCTGTACCTATATGAATCTTTTAGCATTTTTGTGAGACAGATAAAACTTTATTTTGGTGGTATTCATTCACCACTGGGATTTTTATTTTTTTTTGTTATATAAATCAAAAAGTCCAAAAATGCTGAAAAAAGGTGTTTTTCTTATAAAATTTTGTAAATAAATAATCTTCATAAATCTTGGCAAAATTTATTCAGTTATCTTTTTAGTAAAAAAATAACCCAAATTAGTTTATAACCAAAAATTATAATTTTTCTAAATTGTTTTACATTTTTATTTTTTTTTTTATATTATTTTTTTTTTTTTTTTAACATACTGTCACCCTAGCAGTACAGTGAAGATTTTTTTTTTTTTTGTAATTATTTGTTTATTTTGTTTATACTGATTGCTTTTACACCTATAAAGGCTGTAAAAGCAAAAATTTCTCCTTCTCTCTGGCTGCATTCTTGCAGCCATTCAGAAATACTGTGTGAGCTGTGATTGGTCACAGCTTGTCACATGGTACATGGCTGTTATGAGTAGCCTTGTACCATGTGATCTCTGTGATCATTCCACACGTAGTAAGCAATGATGTCAGAAGTGCCATCTTGTTTACACCTATTCATGTGATCACTGATTAGCTGATCACATGATCACATGATCAGGACCTCACACAGAGGTCCCGTACAATGATCAGTGTTCCGCTGTGTCCGGCACCGGATCGCGGTGTTGCGTGCTCCCAGGGAAGCAGGGAGGATGTTTATAATTGGCCACCCGCCCCTGCACTTCTCCCGTCTGGCCATTTATATACAGTGATCACATGATCGGGACCTCACACAGAGGTCCCGTACAGCGATCGGTGCTCCAGACACAGCAGGCACCGGATCGCGGGGGCTGCGCGCTCCCAGGGAGTGGCGCACAAGCAGGGAAGCGGGGAGGACATTTATAAATGGCCTCCCGCCCCTGCACTGCTCCCGTCCCTGCACTGCTCCCGTCCGGCCATTTATATACAGTGATCACATGATCGGGACCTCACACAGAGGTCCCGTACAGCGATCGGTGCTCCAGACACAGCAGGCACCGGATCGCGGGGGCTGCGCGCTCCCAGGGAGTGGCGCACAAGCAGGGAAGCGGGGAGGACATTTATAAATGGCCTCCCGCCCCTGCACTGCTCCCGTCCCTGCACTGCTCCCGTCCGGCCATTTATATACAGTGATCACATGATCGGGACCTCACACAGAGGTCCCGTACAGAGATCGGTACTCCAGACACAGCAGGCACCGGATAGCGGTGCCGCGCGCTCCTAGGGAGTGCGAACAATTCAAAATGGCAGGCGCCGTTTATGATCGGCCCGCCCGCCCCTGCACTGCCACCGTCCGGCCGTTTATATACAGCAGCCGGACGGGAAGTAGTTAAACGACTTTATATCATTTACATCCAAAATACGAACATTCCCCTATGTTTTGCAATCCAACCTCCCACTGCCCCCCCCCCCCCCCCCCACCCAACAATTTACCCCGGTCCATAAAGCTCTTCCCTTCTCTTTCCAACTTTCCATTCTATACCAGTGATCTTTCTCTTCAGTCCTCCCTTCCGACTCTTCCTTTTCTTACTATTCTTTCTTTTCCTCCAACCTTTTTTTTTCCCTTCTCCTATTCCTGCTACTGATTTACAGAACATTCCCTTTATTCTCCAACCTCCAATCAGATCCCTGGGCCTCCCACTACTTCCATATATTCTCCAGATGCCTTGAAGTCAGGCTATCCTCATTCCTTTCTGAATGTACCCATATTACCTTCGTCTGGATGGTAGAACTCCTCCATCTTCTTTATATATTCCAGCCTGTCTAGCCAATCCCTTGTTGTTGGAGGCTCCTGTACCTTCTAAAATTTAGGAATAAGCCCCTTAGCCGCACTGATTAGATGGTATAATACACTGTTTTTATTCTGCTCCACTGGTGCTTCTGTCCTATAAAACAAACACACCCACGGACAGTGGTGTGTATTTAGGTTTTGTGCTGCCCTAGGGAACATGAAAATCGGCCACCCCTCCCTGGCAAAGAGAGAACCTCACACAAGACCAGACCCCCCTCCCACCCCCACACCCACGTGGAGAGAGCCTGACAGTGACCAACAACACCCCTGCCCCATATTCCCCCCCCCCCCCCCAAGAGAGCCTTCCACTAACACCCACCCCCCCCCCACACGGCAGCAGAGCGAAAGACACTCACCTTCACAGCTCTGGACATCCCCAGGAACGACAGTTGGGCTCTGCATACACCATCAAGAAGCCCATCTCGAATCCCATCTGGTCCCCATGCCGCATATGTCCCTTCTTCCAGGGGGCAGTGCTGCCCCCCTAAAAAATGCCACCCTAGGCAAATGCCTTGTTTGCCTTGTGGTAAATACGCCCCTGCCCACGGATCCTTCTGTATCGTTGTCCCCAATATCTTTTGTATGAACTGGATGACATCTTGCCAAAACCCCTGTATTTTTGGACAGTCCCACCATATATGTCCGATATATGTTCCGTTAGATCCACATCCCCTCCCAACATAATGGTGAGACTTCTATCTATCTTACGTACAACACATTTATAGTTCATTTCAACCGTGTTCATGATAATCGCCCCAGGTGTTAATTTAAACATTTTATTTTACTGTGATTCATTCATTTTTTTTCCCAGTTCCCTTTCCCATTTCTCTAAGAACAGTGGAGGACCTGCCCCACCCCCCCAATTCAACAAGAATTTTATATATCCCAGAAGTAACATATTTTGGCGCCATACTGGAACCCAACATCTTTTCAAATGGTAGCATGTCCTCCGTCATCCTCATTGGTTGGGGCAACTTCGCTACAAAATGTCTTAATTTACAATATCTCAGTTCATCTAATGAACTTTTTTTACTCTTTAAGTCTTGAAAAGTACCCAACTTCCCTTTAACTACTATATCCTCCATTTACATCTTTACCCTAGGTTCACATCTGTGCGGGTGGTGCCGCTGCGGATCCGCACGAGAAGCCGCACCACCCACACGGAGAATTGAGGACCCGCGGGCGGGTTCCATTGAATTAGATAAGGACCAAAAGTGTCCGTTGATTATCTGCTCCTGTCCTAATTAATCATTCTAGCTAGCTTTGGAATGTGCGCACACTGGAAGAGACTCACACTGACACAAAAGTTCAGTCTATGAACACTTCTAATTTATTATAATGAGACAGTGAGCTTATATATGCAAAATGATGCAAGAGTCACGTGTGTGAACAGCATAAGCATTATATTAGTCTTTGATTGGTCATTTCCACAGGAATACAATCTCCGTCATGGTATAGATGTGATCTTCTTCCAAGTCTTATCTTATAGAAAGAAAAACATTCCTTTGTCTCACATTGGTACGATGGGAGGGGTCGGTGCATGTGAGCAGACATTTCTTAAGCAAGGATTTCTTAAAGTACCACAAAGTCCAGCAGGCAGAAAATATTCACACAACTTATGTATTCATACTAAACATTTATAAATATGAAGAAAGAAATAGTATTAAAATATAAAAATAAATATGTAGAAAATGTGTAGAAAAAAAAACATATATTTATATATTCAATAGGAAACGAAATAGGCATTTTACCAAATCCATAACACCATTACTTCTAATGGCACGCCACCTGCACTGGAAAACGCAACAGTACTGGTAACCCAGGTTCCCATGCGGGCTGCGTTTTCCAAAGAAGTGCAGGGACTTCTCCCTGCGTGTCACGGGCACGGGAGTCCATTCAAATGAATGGGCTCTCGTGCCCATGCAAAACGCGGCCGTAAGGCCGCATAGATGTGAACCGGGGGTTAAACCATTTCCCCGAAATGTTATCCTTCCCCCGGTGGGAATAACTCAGTGCCCACCTCAGTTCTTCCTCTAGATGTAACAATGTACAAGTGAGAAGAAATCTCTGCAACAATCTCAGGCCTCATTTACAGGGCCAAATCAGACTAGGCTGGATGGCCATGACCAAGAGCACAGCTATGTGCAGACAGTTGCACCCAGGAGGCCGGTACAAAGCAACGACAAACAGTAATCATAGTTGTCTGCCGGTGTTCAGATGTAATTGCACAGCCTGCGATTACCTGCGGTTAGAAACATGATCATCCCAGGTGACCCATGTGTTTGGCTGTCACAGTAGTTACATGCTGGTTCCCAATTATTAGTACAGACCGAAAGCTGTTTTTGACAGATCATTCTCTTGTGCTGGGGGTGCGCAGCGAGCGTGATCCCAGCACACAAACCTCTGTCCCCCATAGACACCAATGGGCAGTATGTGGGCATTAACCCCCCTGGCGGTATTCCCGAGTGTAGCTCGGGGTTAATTATCAGTGCCAAAAGCGGTAACCCTGAGCTACACTCGGGAATACACTGCAGCGTTGCTCCGGGATCCCTCAATCACTTACCTTGTCCTGCGCTCCCGCGATGTCCCCCCTGCAGCGTCCCTGGCCATCTCCTCCAGCCGATGCCGGCATTTGTCTTCCGGGGGGTTCCGTTCCCTGCGACGTCGGGATGTACGGGGAACGGAACTGGCGGGAAATTCAAAAATTTTAAAAGTGACATTCACTAAATTCACTAAAATCACATAGTATAACATTCCTGTATCAAACCATTTCACATACATTTTGTCCCGAGTGCTTTGTCCGGCGCCCTGCCTGCATTTTTACTGTTCTTTCTGCCTGGAAACTGAGAAACGTCCATGGCGTCCAAAAAGCGTCCCTTTAGGTCAAAAGCGGTTTTAGACCGGCTAGAGAACAGCGATAGTAAATCAGAACCACTTGCAGGATTGAGTGATAATGATTCGTGGGGGAAATTCCTCATCAGACACTGAAAACGATTCTGCGACTTTGCTCAGCAATGTGCGAACTTGGCGCTCTATTTCACATTTCAGTGTTTTTGGTTTGATTACATTATTGAATTAAATTTGTTATTATATTATTATTTTTTTCTGATTATTAAATTATAATTTATGATTTCGTGTTTCAAGTTTTATCATACCCGGGATGTTTACTAGACTCTTGTTCGGACAGATTTCAGTGAGTTATTCCAACGAATTACAGACCTACAATAAAAAAACAACATATTTCCGTGCAAAAAAATGTACCGCTTTGAGCACAGAAATACGGACATAATCAGACCACTAGGGAGGTTAAAACCCACCTTTTTGCTGTCGCACAGAAGGTTGGTATGTGGGTGTCAAGATGTTAAATAAAAAATGCTTATTATTATTATTACAGGATTTATATATTATTATTATTATTATACAGGATTTATATATATTATTATACAGGATTTATATATATTATTATTATTATATACAGGATTTATATATTATTATTATACAGGATTTATATATTATATTATTATACAGGATTTATATATATTATTATTATACAGGATTTATATATATTATTTATATTATACAGGATTTATATATTATTATTATACAGGATTTATATTATATATTATTATACAGGATTTATATATATTATTATTATACAGGATTTATATATTATTATTATTATACAGGATTTATATAGCGCCAACAGTTTGCTCAGAGCTTTACAATATAATGGGAGACAATACAGAACAATACAGTTCAATACAAGAGGGATAGGAGGGCCCTGATCCTGGGAGCTTACAATCTAGGAGAGCCAAATGACTTGGTAGGCCTTCCTGGCCCCTGGGGTACGAGCCCAGTTAAAGGGACACTGGGGCAGGCGGGAAGGGGTTAAGATCCTATTGAAATGGGACCATTGTGGCCCTTTTTTTTTTTTTTAAATTTACTGCTCCTAAGCCACAGCCGTGTCTTGTAGTGTGTACTGAAACATCTCATTGCAGATCCATGTGTTCTCTTTTGTTGGTCCCGGACCTTGCATGCAATGTTCTCTCCACGGCAGGCTGCGCCGAGCCATTGACTTTTATTGCCAGGCCCACCGGGAGAGCGTATGAAAGCCAGGTGGAAGTGAGGTGGAACCCAGTGCGCTTCTACTTCCAGCGTCTGTGTAAACTCGGTCAGAAACCGCGACGGGGACTCTACAACGTATACTTTGCTGCAGCTGGCAGACTCTGCAGGACATGGAGAGGTTTACAAGGTTTACTCTCGTAAAAGTTTCCTTTTTACTTATATTGAACGTGATTTATTTGTTTCTCAAAGCAGAGTTTATGTTAGCTTGAGGGAAACGAGGAACTGCGATGAAACTCCAAAAAAAACAGAAAGAGATTAAAGAAGAAACATTGCCTAAGTGTATACACAAAGAGTAAACAGGTAAAGGAATGCTCCAGCCAAACACCCAAGGGCCACAACCTACCTAAGGCTCCAATGTACCTCTAGATTCTTGCTGCCACTGAACTGACCCAAGTGCGCTGCCACTGAGCCAGCACGCACTTTCCCACTCTCCTCATTGCACTGCTGCACGTTTCCCTGGTCGCTGCCACTGAGCCAATGGTGCACTTTTCTACTCCCTAACTGCGCATCCCAGTTTGATGCCACTTTAGCGCACTTCCCCACTTACTGCCACTGCATCAACTCGCATTTCCCCCACAGGCCACCACTGCACTGACGCACACTTCCCTCACTGGCAGCCACTGCTCCAAAGCACGCTTTTCCCACTGGCTGCCATTGCACCGGTTCTTGCTTCCCCTACTTATCAGCACTGCACCGTTGCACACTGTCTTTACTGGGTGCCACTGCATGGACACACAGTTTTCCCAATGATTGCCACTGCAACATCATATAGTTCCTCGCTGTCCACCACCACCACACAGATGAATGCTTCCCCACTGGCTGCCACTGCACCAATGCACATTTCTTCACTGGCTGCCACTGCATGGATATACGCTTCCTCACTGGCTGCGGGACTGCAGCAAAAAGCATCCTTTCTCCACTGGCCATCACTGCACCGACATGCACTTTCACCACTGCACGGACGCACAGTTTTCCCACTTGCTGCCATTGCACCAATGTACATGTCTTCACTGGCCGTCACTGCATAGATGTCCACTTCCTCACTGGCTGCGACTTCACCAAAAGCAACCTTTCTCCATTGGCCATCACTGCACCGACGTGCTCTTCCCCTACTGGCCACCACTGCACGGACGCACACTTCCCCCACTTGCTGCTATTGCACCAATGCGCACGTCTTCACTGGGCGTCACTGCATGGATGCATGCTTTCTCCTTGGCTGCCACTGCACCAACACACACTTCCCCCACTGGCCACCAATGCACGGCCACACATCTTCACCCACTTACTGCCATTGCACCAATGCACACGTCTTTATTGGACGCCACTGCATGAGTGCATGCTTCCTCACTGGCTGCCACTGCACCAACACACACGTCTACACTGGGCGACACTAAATGGATGCACGCTTCCTCACTAGCTGCCACTGCACCAACACACACGTCTTCACTGGGCGACACTGCATGGATGCATGCTTCCTCACTGGCTGCCACTGCACCAACACACACTTCCCCCACTGGCCACCAGTGCACATATGCACACTTCCCCCACTTACTGTCATTGCACCAGTGCACTAGTCTTCACTGGTTGCCACTGCATAGATGCATGCTTCCTCACTGACTACCACTGCACCAACGCGCATGTCTTCTCTGGGCACCACTGCATGGATGCACGCTTCCTCACTGGCTGCCACTGCACCAACACACACTTCCCCCACTGACCACCACTGCACGGACGCACACTTTCCCCACTTGCCACCACAGGACCGATGCACACTTTCCGCACTGGCCACCATTGCACTGATGTAAACTTTCCCCACTGGCTGCCACTGCACCGATGCACACTGGCCGCCACCGCATTTCCCCATTCACCACCACTGCACCAACACGCTTTATTGTATTTATCCCGTTCATTAGATAAAGCGCACGTTTGCTAGTTTTCTATAAACTGAGGAAGTAACTACATTTGGTTTTTAGTTTAGGCAGCCCTTGTGAGGCATGCTGGGACTCCTAGTTCACCTGCAGGTAGGAGGCCTCAGGTTATCCCGCCCGCTGTAGCTAGCCAGCAGCGTGAGTCAGGAGCAGCGATGCGCCGCTGATAGCGCTCGCTGTGTTTTGTCCTGTGTTTCTTTTCTGTTGCGCGGTGAGATGTTATTGTTTGGGCTGCTTGCAGTGGTTTCTCCGAAGCATGTCATGGAATGCGGCACAGATATCTCTTATTTGGGTTTCTCACCTTAGCGGCAGTCACTTTCTGCAAGAACAAACTGTAATTGATACCGGGAGACGCCAAGAAGTTGCAGAGATTAAAAACAAGAGAATGGCGGCATTGGAGATGGAGCACAGATCGGGGGAGATGGAGCACAGATCGGGGGAGATGGAGCACTCCTCGGTAATGACACATTTCTTGTTATGTCCTCAGAAGAGGCTTTATGATTACAAAACACCTTTTTCAGTAAGGGGTAGTCCACCCAAAAATGATATTATAAATATAAGTGGAGTCTGGTAGGCTGTATCATGTGTTGGATAACAACACTGATATCCTCCAGCCGTATTTCCTGACTCTGTTTCAGTCCACTTGGGGGACACGTTGGGAGTTCCCACCCCACATATGGTGTGTTCATGCTTCTTGTGTTGCATTCTCCATAGTATGAAATAAATAATCCAGCAGTGATGGTGGCAAACGCTCAAGATGGGCACAGCAGGTGTGTAGACCTGGAAGCTCAGCATATTGATCATGGGGGGCCCCTCATAATGGGCACAGCAGGAGTGTAGACCTGGAAGCTCAGCATGGTGATCATGGGGGGGGCCCTCATAATGGGCACAGCAGGTGTGTAGCTCTGGAAGCTCAGCATAGTGATCATGGGGGGCCCCTCATAATGGGCACAGCAGGTGTGTAGACCTGGAAGCTCAGCATAGTGATCATGGGGGGGGCCCCTCATAATGGGCACAGCAGGTGTGTAGACCTGGACCAGCATGGATCATGGGGGGCCCCTCATAATGGGCACAGCAGGTGAACAGACCTGGAAGCTCAGCATAGTGATCATGGGGGGGCCCTCATAATGGGCACAGCAGGTGAACAGACCTGGGAAGTCAGCATAGTGATCATGGGGGGCCCCTCATAATGGACACAGCAGGTGTGTAGACCTGGAAGCTCAGCATGGGCAGCAGATCATGGGGGGGGCCCTCATAATGGGCACAGCAGGTGTGTAGACCTGGAAGCTCAGCATAGTGATCATGGGGGGCCCCTCATAATGGGCACAGCAGGTGAACAGACCTGGGAAGCTCAGCATAGTGATCATGGGGGGGCCCTCATAATGGGCACAGCAGGTGTGTAGACCTGGAAGCTCAGCATAGTGATCATGGGGGGGCCCCTCATAATGGGCACAGCAGGTGTGTAGACCTGGAAGTCAGCATGGTGATCATGGGGGGGGGCCCTCATAATGGGCCAGCAGGTGGTAGACCTGGAAGCTCAGCATAGTGATCATGGGGGGGGCCCCTCATAATGGGCACAGCAGGTGTGAACAGACCTGGAAGCTCAGCATAGTGATCATGGGGGGGGGCCCTCATAATGGGCACAGCAGGTGTGTAGACCTGGAAGCTCAGCAT